ACCATGTCGTAACTGGGGATAACCATGTCGTATCTGGGAGCAACCATGCCGCGTCAGGGAGCCACCATGTCGTGATTGGGAAGCACAATATTGTATCCGGGACCCACAATGACGTAGGTGGGAGCAAAAATATCGTATCTGGGAGCAACAATGTTGTATCGGGGAGCCACAATACCGTGTCCGGTAAGAACCATTTCGTAACCGGGCACAACAAAGTCGTAACCTGAGGTTAATGACTCATAGCATAAGTATGCGCTGCAGCATCCGTCCGTCCATGTTGACAGAAGATGTACTCATAGCATAAGTATGTTGCCGACCACATATGGCCTCTAATATTTTAAATAATGAGACTCATGTATTCAGGGCAAAACTGATGTATCAGGAGTTTTAATACTAGCTTGTATGACATATCCAAAACTTATGTATGTATGTATGTATGTATGTATGTGGGTACGTACGTAAAAGGAAAAGGAGATGTGTCCATTCCGTCTACATGCCCCTGAGTCATCTCACAGGGTACTTTACTTACACACGTCCTCTTCCCTGGGTTATTACTACTTTGCTACAAAACCATGCGGGCTTGTTAATTAGTAAGACGGCTTGGTAGAATTAGTTGGTGTAAGCTAGCTTAAGATCTCTTAAGAAGTGTCGGGAGGGGACCGAAGGGAGATGTAAATCTCAAGAGGAGGCCGTACGGCAAAATCCATCCTCCACGCCTTCATTCATTCACAGGCGGGCGCAAGCAAGCAATAGTAGTGATGGATGGTGCCGACCACATATGGCCTCTAATATTTTCCATTTGTGACCGAACCTGATCTATCCTGCATAACAGTATGCCTAATAGTTTCTCGTAGGCCTAGCTCCCTCCATACCTATTGTGCGCCACGACGGTTAAATAAATAGTGTTGGATGTCCTCCGCACCAACCCAGCAAACTCATGGTACCCCTGCGTCTCAATGCCCACTTGCATCTGTTCCAACAGTCCAGCTCGTGAAAAGTAAATTTGAGACAAATAATTAGAGTTTTAAAAAGTACTCCCTCCGTAAACTAATATAAGAGCGTTTAGATCACTACAGAGGGAGTATATTTGAATGTTTCGGACTTCTAAGATGCTTGACTCTTGTGTAGGTGCTTGCAAAATTTCTTGGCAATGTGAGTTTGGAGGGGCTCAGAAAGAAAGTAGGAGTTTGACATTTCTTTGCAGCTTTGGACATTTTGGAGCTCCGATTTCGTTTTATTACAAAGTTCCTCCCATGAAAATTTGCACGCGCCTTCCCTAGAAGAGTCGAGCATCTTTGAAGTGCAAACATTTCAGATTTTTTAACAAGTTTTTATTATTTTATCTGAATTTACTATTTACACTTTCTTTTTGCGGGGGAAATTTACTATACCCTGGGATAAATGAGTTGAGGATCAGCTCTGAGTTTTCGATCGCTCCCCCACTAATTATTTTCGCCGTAGCAAGTAGGGCATCTCGCACGAGATCGATAGCTACCATGCCAACCCGGCGTACGTCGATTAGCATGGTTGGAGTGCCGTACGCACATCCGGCTCACGCATTTCCTTTTGCCGAGCTTGTGCCAATCCCTCATGTCCCTTTTACTTGGATTTCCATCTGCCCTACAACAAGCGCCTAATTTAGTCGCCATCGAAACAAAAAAGCGGCTAATTAGCTGTGTGGATTTAAGAAGTTAGATTGGCTACGTAATCAAACAGGGTGTTTGGTCTAGTGGTATGATTCTCGCTTCGGGTGCGAGAGGTCCCGAGTTCGATTCTCGGAACACCCCTCTTTTTTTTGTGCCGTCGTTGTTGGCCCAACTAAATTTGACCGAATGCAGCAGCGGTGCCTTTTTTTCTTCTTCTGAAAACCAGGTGAATTATATATAGTACAAATATGGAAAGAAAAAGAAGAGAAATGGGGGATAGGGCCATGTAACATTGATGGTATCCACTAAACGTCTTTGATGCCAGCAAGAAGCCAAGTTTGCAACTCCTCACAAATGTGATCATATACATCACCAATTCACCATAACGCTCGCTGCCTTGAGATTGAAATTTTGTTGTTCCTCTTTCTCTCTCCAAATGTGCCACCATACACTCATGACGATCAAGGAGAAAGCTTTCGGCGATGTTCAGGAATTCTTCGGCCACATGGACAACAGTTTATTTCTTTTAATTATTGTTTTTATTATCCATTCTTAGTCTAGTTTAGCCAATAATTTGGTGGTCTGATAGAAGGTAGCACCTCATAGACTAATTTCCAAACCACATTTTAGGTGCAAAAGCGACTAGAGATTGTGTCAACTCTAGTTGTGGTAACAAGGAATGGCTGACCTTAATTCCTATGGATCAATATAATATTTTCTCAATACTACCACAAAAGGTACAATGGTGATCCATGCACTTTAGGTCATCAATGAGCCATCTCAGGTCCGCCTTTAATTTTGTGATTAGTTTTAACTGTTAACCTTTTTGCCTTATGTAAATTCAGCTACCACGCGGAGAGTACATCAGAACCAAAAATGATTAATTTTGACGTAGCCATCTCAAGAACCACAAACATGATTGACCAATGCAATGAATCATGTGTATTGCTTGCTCAAGAGACAGTATACATCAGGTACGGTTTCTCCAACCCTTTGGATTGGGCATGAAGGATTGCAAGTCTGCATTGTATGGGGCGATGCTCGAACTAACATTTCATCATTGGTTACTAGATCTCGTTTCTAGCGGCGAGTGACTATTGCGGTCTTTAAAGCCTGGTTTAGTGAGGACATTTGCAATTGTTTCTTTCCCTTGCT